ACTAACAAAAAATTTATATAGTATTATAAGCTTGTTAGTCTCTACGGTGCTACAGGACGACACTTTTTTTTTTTTTAAAGTTACAGACTAACACAGCTACCCCTCTGAGACATAGAAACTAATAGGAAACAGATAGAGAGACATGCTCACATTTAAAATCTTATTTGACTTTGGTACATTGCAGGACTCCTGATTTCACACACCACAGTAAAATGCAATGGAAAAGAGGAAAAAACTGAAAATCTTTAACAGAGGAAACAGAGGAAAGGGAATAGGAGACATTCATTGCTGTAGTTGCAAGCTGCTAGGGCAGGGGTGGGCAAATACAGGCAGTCCCCGGGTTCCGTACAAGATAGGGACTGTAGGTTTGTTCTTAAGTTGAATCTGTATGTAAGTCGGAACTGGTGTCCAGACTGATCAGTTTCAGCAGCGGCTGAATCTGGACGCCAGTTCCGACTTACATACAGATTCAACTTAAGAACAAACCTACAGTCCCTATCTTGTACGTAACCCGGGGACTGCCTGTACATACAGTGCTCGTGACAGCTAGCTGCTAAGTTTTCTACCAAAAAAGTAGCGTTTCCAGTACCTTAGTAGACCCTGGATAGAGATGATGTGGGGGAGGAGATGGGGTTGGTTCCCCCACCCTTTGGGTTCTTGGCTTGTACTGAGAATGCTCAGTAACACTGGTGAAGCCTCTGTCCTCAGTCTGTTCCCCTCATGCTCTCACTCTCTTCCCCTCAGCACTCCTCCTTTCCCCTCAATCCCCATCATGGTATGCAGAGGACCTACCCACCTCTCACCAACATCTGAAATGAAGCCCCTGTCGCATCGTCTCTGGAAAGTAATTAACACTCTTCTTATTTGCCAGGATATTCCGAGGCTAAGATAAGCCGAGCAGCGTGTAAACGCCGTGGAGGAAAATGTTACCTTAGATGTCCCGCTAATTCCATATACATTGCAAAATGCTATATCGGTGTCTGCTGCCAAAGGTAAGCTCACAATCCAAGCAGCAGGCTGTGGAGCATGAACAGAAAGGTTCATGATTCTCTTTCAGTTTCACAGCTGATGAACCCGTCCATCCTTAAAGCAGCTTAGCTCTTAGCCCTTTATTTTCCCTCTAAGGGAGGTCATCATAGAAACCTTGCCAATATCCATGTTAACTTTGTCCAGGATGAATGTAAATAATTTAATCATGAAGTTTCCTCTTGTAAAGTTAACGTGGCCGCATTCCACATCTGCCTCCCTTTCTGTTCCTGTTCTGCCTCTTTCTGACCGAATGCAGGACGCTCAGCTGGTCACACTAATGATGCAGCAGGAACAGGTCCTAGAGAAACAGTTGGGAGGGTGAGAGACTTTCCCACACACTAAAACACCAGAGGCGCTCGCTGCGGGCAAGAATGTGAAACTGGGAGCTCCTTGGGCCGGCAGAGTGGGAACCAAGGATTGAGGCTGGAGTGGCCATGCTACCAACTACAGGGATGATCTCCTGGATCAGAACATGCCTGAACATACCCAGAGATCCCTGATCTCACCAGGCAGGGCTGTTAGCATAGAACTGCTACCAGAAAAGAGTCAGGCTTCAGGTAGAATTAGAATTTCCCAGCATTCTTGAAGAGTTAATTATGTATCATCTAAATTAGGGGTGGGGAACGTAAGGCCGGCCCCTGGCTTCTTTGGATCCAGCCCCTGAGGCTCACTGCTCCTCACCCCCCGAACATTCGATATCTCTGAGGCTGGAGTGCACAAAATTTACTAGCCTCGGGCCTCCTAGACTCTGTTCTGTGAAGGGAATAAGTGGAGGCTCTTTCTCCTTCTCAATCCGGGGCAACATCAGTGATGGTTTGGTTTTTTTGTCTGGTTGGTTGGTTAGTTTGATTTCGTTTTTGTTTTGTTTTGTTTGGGATAGGGTTGGTTTTTGGTTGGTTGGTTGGTTGGTTGGTTGGTTGGTTTTTTTGCTTTTCACTTGTGTGCAGCCTGCTGCTAACTTTTCGGTGGGTCAGGGGCCCCGACCCAAAAAAGGATTCCCACCCCTGATCTAAATTACAAGATAACTTCATCTGTAGACAAAGTGTGTTTAATAAAACACCCTACTACATGAGTGAGTCATGCTTTTCTAAACTTTAGAGTTTTTAATAAACAGCCAGTTCAGCATTTTATATATTATGTCTGTTACAACTCTGTAACAAAATGTGGCAGATTTCTTGTTCCAGGGGTTAACCAAGAACCCCATTTAGTGACTGGGCGGTTCTTCCCCATGCCATATGATTTCAAATCAAACATATGATTCTTTCTACGGGAAAACATCAAAAATCTGACTCTTTCCTTTGTACAGAAGTATTTTTACTGATTACCTGGAATGATCTCCAGGAATCTGGGAGAGAGCCACTTGCTTCTAAAATCATCAGATCCTGCCTCAATGGAACCTTGAAGTCTCATTCATTTGGGCTGAAAAGAACCTTGTGACGAAGAGAAATTCCAGAAGGGAGCCCTTCTTTTACACATATAAGATTTGTTACTTTCCTTTTAATAAAAGCAAGCTGGTGTAACATCATCAAACCAAAGTGTGTGTGTGTGCGTGTGTGTGTGTGTGTGTGTGTGTGTGTGTGTGTGTGTTGATGGGAAGGAAGGGGACTATTTCTAGCATTCTTCTTTTAGAATCCAGTTAGTTTATCTTTTTAAAGTTAAATACATAATAACGTGTTAATACCACACATGGGTATCTGTAAACTACATATCACACATTTCTGCAGGCTTCGAGGCGCTCCTATGAATAGATCCTTATTTCATACATTTGTTACAATTCCTAACATATTGTGGTGTCAGAGGAGCTTGATTTAGTCCCAGCTGAACTGTACAGTGTGTAGCCCTCACCTGAGTTCTCTATTGCAACTAGACTATCCCTCTGCTCTGAAACCCCACTGTCCACGTCACTGCTCAATACCCCAACCTGACACTTTAAGTGCAGAGCTGGGGAGTGGCTATCAGAATAAACTCTGTAAAACCTGTCTCTGACACTCCCAGAGACAAACTTGTTTCATCTCAGTCCCCCTGAGATCCAAAAAAACCCTCAAAGACTGATTTCTTGCTGCCACCACCCAAGTGAATAAAAGAAAATATAAAATAATCCCTTTTCCAGAGAAGACATCACTTGGAAATCCCCTGCCTAAGGGAAAGCTCTTCCCCCTGACCAAACCTCTGCTTTGCTTGGAGTTGGGAAAACAAACAGAGGGAATCCCCAGACAACAATGGACTCCGCCTGGGTAACTAGGCATGTAAATTTAAGGACACAACAATCAACCAAACCTGGTAAATCAAAACAAAAAGGAAAACACTTTTATTATCAAAACAAAGCTACTGTTGCAACCATAGTAAATGATTAGTTGTTAAATAGCCATGAGGTGACATTGACTCAGGGAAAAATCCCTGGGCTGTAATCCTTAGTTACAACAAAGAAAAATAATTAACCAATTCAGACATGATTTCCAAGTACCCGCCTCCACCCTCCAAACAACTTAAACAATAAAATCTGATGGACTATCTAAATTTTCCCTACTCACACATTTCATGAAGTTCATTCCTGGGAAAGCCTGTCTCCTCCATATCTGAAAAAACTGCTCTGATCTCAAACAAAGAAAAGAAAAAGGAAAAAAACCATCTCTCGGTTTGAAATTCCTTTCTGCAATACATTGGGTGAATGCTCTCTGCCTAGGTTCAGTTTGTGGTTTCCTCTAGATGCCAAAAACCTTTGGGGGAGGGGGAGCACACAACGTGTCCTCATCTGCTTCCAGGTCCTGATTGGCAGGCTGAATCTACACCACAGGCCATATCTTGCCCACCCTAGTGTAACAGTATCTCTGTGGGTCATAACTGTCAATACGAAATTCAGGACAAACTTCTGGGGAATAGGGCAAGTACATTCCCAAACTGGCGGTTTATTCTCCCATAAAATATATCAAACCAGCAACTAAAGTAAACTTGTTTCTCCTCACTGGCTAACAGGAAGCCAGAGAAGCAGTTTCCTTCCGTGTTCAAGTGCTTGTATCACCACACAAAACATTTAACTTAAAGATGAGTGGTTTTTTAAAACCAATTTCGTCAAAACAAAGAGTTCTTCTGAGTCCAAAGGGCCAGCCACACGTTCAGGTCAATGGGTCACTCAGATATTACCCAATAATCGCTGTGTTTCCAATCTGTTAGTATCCAAAATCTAAAGATTGAGGCAGGCAGGCAGGCAGGTTAAATTTGTTTAAAAAATCAAACACATATAATAATAGTTATGTGGTGCATAGAAATTGGGTGATATCTCTTTAACAGCTGGGAGCCTTTGCATGGACTTCCTCCTCCCCTGCTGCTGTAGTCTCCAGAAATCTGCTGGATCAGATGTATTCACTGGTAATCAGGCCTAGCATTTTTGTACCTAGCAATACACAGCTCCCATTGGGTGGGTATGGGTTAGACACTCATACTCATCCATCCCGTGTGGCAATCCTTTATTTATGCTGTGATTTTTGCAGGTTTTGTATTAATTGACACTTCATTTAGTTAAGAGCCACACTGGTTTGGTTACTTTAGCAAAGACTGTGACTCATGTGGGGGCATGCCAGATTCAAGCAGTGATACACCCCTCAATTTATTGCTCAGTGGATAAGAAAACAGAGGGAACATGCCAGCAGCCTAGCAGATTATCTGGTGTCAGCTGTGCAGGTGCAGCACCACCCAAATGTCAGGGAGACCTCATCCTAGAGCAGTGATTTTCAAATGATGCATCATGACCTTGGTGCATGTGGCCCAGGTCTCAGGAAGTCAGGGTTTAAGGGTAGAAGTGGGGGGGAATGGAGTGGAGGAGGGCAGGACATGGGCAGAGCCTGCAGCAGGATTTTGCCCCAGGCTCTGCCCCTTGGGTGCTGATGGGGGGGCTTACCCTTGGCCCCACATCTCTCTAGGGATGATCCTGCACAGGCAGCCTGAGTAATTCTCCTCTTAAGAAACAGCAGCCAACTGGGTGGTTCTAATATACGCTGGGGCCACCCAGAATCTGAGAAGCACAGAAGTAGCTAAAAGCTTCTTCTCCTACCTGTTGTGGGCTGGGCTGTGTGTGTTGTGCCACCCAGAGCATTAAACAACAGCTTGGAGGAAATCTTTCTGTTCATACTGCAGGGTCTCCCTTGTGAGACGCTGAGCTTACCTGACACAGCAAACATCCCCTAGAAAGCATCTTCCAGAGTTTACAGTATTCAGGAGACAGCCTCATACAGCAGGGAGCCGCCAGGTGCATCCCCCACGTCTGTCTGAACACAGAAGACTCTTGCACTAAGAAAGTCTTAATGGCCATTCAGTAGTCCATTCACTCAGGGGGTGAATGAGGGACAGCTGTGTGCTCTTCCTGGATTTTGCACCTATCACCTTAAATAGGATTTTAAAGGATGGAGTTGTCAGAGGTGTCAGAAGTGCTTACCGGGGATCCAGCTTGAGCCGATACCAGACTGGTGGTGCTTTCATTGGCCAAGAGATGTCAAGTGCTGTCTGCCTTCTTCATGCAGATATTTTAATTTTTAGAAGCACCATCTTTAATCAAACTGCCTGTCTATATCGTCTCTGAGGGTGGTACCGCTTGGCTTCTCTACTTATCAAAGTTGCTCTGGGTCAATCGGAAAGGGTGCATCTGTACTGCACCATTATTTGGAGATATCTTGCGTTATTTTGAAATAACAATGGGATCATCTACACAGCCTTTCCATTATTTTGCAATAATTTTGAAATAATGGATGGCTTATTCCAAAATCTGTAAACCTTATGCTACAAGGAATAACGTCTATTCTGAAATAGCTATTTCATAATAAGGTGTGTGTAGCCGCTCCACTGCTGCTATTTTGAAATAGCCCGTCACCAGGGCCATTCTCAGTTATTCCTCCCCAGTGCCTCCTCTGGCTCTAAATCGAGATAGCACGTCTACATTAGGGAAGATTGCACCGAACTAATTTTGAGGCTTTTCTGCAGTATATCCCTCCGGAATAACAGCATACCTTATTTAGAAATAGCCATGCAATGTAGATGTACCCAAAGTGACCTTTAGTTCTGGAGAAGATTAGAAATGTACAACCAGAGTACATCTTGTTCCTTTTCACCCTGCAATGACAATACAAAGCATCTCTTATGAATTCTTCCAACTTTCTCTCCAGATAATTCCATGGTCTTCATGCAAGATATCATGTGCCAACCGCATTTCCATAAGACACGTTAGGCCACAGCGGTTTGTGCAAAATGTGTTGTGACACAAACTAAGCACCTACTGGTTTTGTGAAGCAGCACATTTCTGCAAGCCTCTGCCCATAGGAATCTTTCCAAACATTTCTATTTTCATACACACTGCAAGGACTAAACTGCTTGCAATATTTGTTTTAGTGAGACCAGCTTGGCAATGAATCTTGCTCAGTCAGAAAGTTACAGATCGTTTCGATTGTCAACATCATTTTAAAAGTTACATGTTATCAGGTAAGCGCTTACTCTACAATATCTCTATTTTGAATTTCTAGGTATAAAACGTAATAAAGTAAAAGAATCTGGTAAAAGAGGAAGTTACTACTCTATTTAGGATGAATTTGCGGTTAGCTTATTCAGTGACCATTGCTTACACAATGTAACAACTATAAACCACACAGGCAGTAGGGGCTATCTGAGTTGAATTATATTAAGAAGTTTGGCCAAAATTATGAGGCCAAGGATTCTAGACTATACCTGGATGTCTATGACATAATTATTAATGGTAAAAGAAATGTAGCCGTGTTAGTCTGGTGAAGCAAAATGCAGGACTATGTAGCACTTTAAAGACTAACAAGATGGTTTATTAGATGATGAGCTTTCGTGGGCCAGACCTACTTCCTCAGATCAAATAGTGGAAGAAAATAGTCACAACCATATATACCAAAGGATACAATTAAAAAAATGAACACATCCATTAATAAGAAGATGATTTATTAGATGATGAGCTTTCGTGGGCCAGAACCTACTTCCTCAGATCAAATAGTGGAAGAAAATAGTCACAACCATATATACTTATACAAAGTATATATGGTTGTGACTATTTTTTTCCACTATTTGATCTGAGGAAGTAGGTTCTGGCCCACGAAAGCTCATCATCTAATAAATCATCTTCTTATTAATGGTAAATTCGACTTCAAAGTAGGAATAAAGTAGGAATAAAAGATCCTCCGGAAAAGGGCTTATTTTCCGGAGAATCCCCCGCGGATTTTGCTATTTCAAAGTGTCTAATCTGCATCCCTTTTCCAGAAAAGGGGTGCAGTGTAGACACAGCCATACTGTAGTGCATATTGCTAACAAAAGAAATAATTACATGTGCTCACATCTATAATGCAGCCACCGCAATTTTCTGTCCCGCTCAAGTCAGCTCTCCCACTGGGAAAAGGAGGGTGTGGCCTCTGATTTTAATCAAAGCCAGCCAGCACTGATCACCTTGGCAAACTAGATAGGATCACTATGCAAATAACATCTGCTCAGAAGATCAGAAGGTCATCTGTACAAGATAGGAGAGGCTCATTCAAATCAATGGTTTCACTGTCTTCCATTGTCTTGTGTTGCGATACAGTCCATAGGTCTTTTATCCTCCTCTTATCTTCAGGCAAACAACCTGTGGGACCATCTAGACACAGACAGATCCTTCCATAGAGGAAATTACAATTGAAGGTGAAATACTGGCCCCAGTGCAGCTGCCTGGATCTATCTATCTATAGTCAGCGGCCTATTATAAAGCATGGACAGCAGTGCCAGGGCCAGGCCTAGAAGGCCAAGTGACAATCGCACTCCTGCTCCTCAGCGCCTGCCTCCCCCACGCTGTGTATGTGAATGTGAAAAACTAAGAGATCTGACCTAATGATCCTGCCCTGGCCTCAGAGGATGCCTGGGAGACATCCAGGCCCTAGGGTACTGGCTCCAGGCTGAGTATGAGGGTGCTGGCCATCTCCTCCTGGTCCTCTGGGACCCTCAGGTGGGTGACAATGGACATTTCCAGCCCTGAGTCCACAACCAGGGGTGGGGAAGGGGCTGCCCTGGCCCCCAGGATGCAGTGCTGCTCATTGAGGTGGGGCAGCCTTCTGCCCCAGAGTGAGAGCTGCACTCCCTGGCCCAGCCCTGCTGCAGCTCCTTTTAATAATGGAGATACACCTATTTCCTAACACTGCAAGGGACCTTGAGAGGTCATTGAATCCAGTCCCCTGCCTTTGCAGCAGGACCAAGTACCATCCCTGAGAGATCTGCCCCAGATCCCTAAATGGCCCCTGCAAGGGGTGAACTCACAATGCTGGGTTTAGGGGGCCAATGCTCAAACCACTGGGCTATCCCTCCCCCTGCCTGCTCAAGGCTCTTGGGGTGGTGGCCTCTCGTGGCCAGGGCCTCGGCCATCCAGCCATAGATGTCAGCATTGTGCTGTCTGGAGCAGAGATCCTGGAGGGTTTCCTCCTCACCCCATACCTCCAGGAGGGCCAGGATCTCTGCCCTAGACCATGATGGCACTCGTCTTTTTGTGCCCCTGGCAGGATCCTGGTAGCCCTAAGCATGCTCCTTGGGAAGGCCAGTGTGCTCTCGGGGAGGGCGGTGAGGTTGGCCCATGGGTGCTAAGGAGTGTAGCAGTGTGAGACACGCAGTGAGTTGCAGCCCTCAGGGCATGCTTCCTGCCACAAGCCTTGTCCCGGGTGCCTGCGTCTTTAAGAGCTGCCGGGAGACAGGAGCTATAGAGTTGTGATGAGTGTGGGTGGAGTAGCCAGCAGGGCATCCATGTTATTTCCTGAAGGTCTCTTTTTTCAACAGAACTCCCTCTTCCGCCTCCACACACTCGTTTTTCTGAAAAAACTTTTTCGGAAGAGGGTGTTCTCCCTCGTAGGAAGAGGTTTACCACTGTCGGAAACACTCCTCCGTTCTTTCGCCTTTCTGTCAAAAGAACGCAATGGCAGTGTGGACGCAAGTATTGCTTTTCCGGATTAATGCCCTTTATTCTGGAAAAACACTGCAGTGTAGACATTCCATCTGCGGAAAAGGGGCAGGAGAAATGGCCACCATGGCTGCCCCCTCCCACTCCTCCACACCAGATGCTGTGGTAAACAACAATGACTGGGACAATAGATGGACAGGTCACCCCTCCTCCAAACTTCTTCCAAAGAGACATGCGATAAACCAGGAAAAGGCACTCCTTTGAGGGTGAGAGCATCCAGATCCGGGCATATAATTGCACTGGTATAGATATGCCAGTCAATTGCCCCACTCAGCAAGCCATTAGCTTTTCACTCCTGTAACTCAAAGAGAAATGCCATCTAATGTAATGTGCCATGAAGCATGAGGTGAGAGACATGAATGTCATCACTCTGATTACTTCAAATCCTTTTCTCTAATGCCTTCTTCCCTTAGCTACATAAGCCCCCTTGTTTTCAGCAAGTGGTTTGTCCCTGTACAGCTCTTGGCACAGGGAAGATGCACAAGTCAGATCAACGTACATGGTAATATAGCACAGATGGGGGTGTTGCACGTAAATCCTGTTCACACGGAATGTTTTCACTGCAGGCAGAGATGTGTCTACAGCCCAGTTAGACGTTCCCGAGCTAGCTTTCCTCTAGCTAGTTGGAATAACAATACAAGTAGTTGTATTGAATAGCAGCACGGGCTCTAAAAATCACTCCTGATTCTGTATATGTACCTGAATTGCTAGCTTGTGCTTCTGTGGCATTGCTGCTCTGAAAAACTGAGCAACTTAGATCCAAGCTAGTTTGGGTGTCTCTGTGTATGCACCTCCGACTGCAGGGCAGACATGTCCCAAGAGTGGGAGACTTGTGAAATTCTTTCCCAGGATGGGTCAGTGCCCAAACTCCTGAGTGACACAGAAACCAGCGAGGGCAGAGATGTGCAAGCAGGCCTGTAATCTTCACATCCATCACAGAACCCTTTTAAATTTCCTTACATTTCCTAGGCAGAGAGTAAGCCCACCCACTTTTCCTACTAGATTCCTGCATCACATAAATGAGATGAACCCCGAGAGACACCACTGGCTTTGTCAGACATAGCACATCAATATGAAGGTCAGGTCCATCAAGACACAGTCTGTGTCTGGACTTATGACTGTTATTGTTGAGACTGTAGGTTTGACATGGAGTTGAGTCAAGTTGGCCAGGCATCACCCTACAGAAGTAAATTGCTGATCAGAGCTAAACCAGCAGGTATTCGTTAAACGTCCCAAGATGTTTTGCACAAATCATGGTGGACCAATGTGTCTTACACAACCTGGGATGGCACAAGATCTTTTGCACAAAGACCATGGAATTTTCCACGGCCAAAGTTGCAAGAAGCGCAACATTCAGTTTGTGGTGACAGTTCACATCTTCCCCAAAAGCAGGGTTCACCTTCTGATTGGCCCACAGCTGCTTTGCCAAGACAAAAACCAAGCCTTCAACCACTGTATAAGACAGGGTGGTTGGGTCAAGGTGTAACTCCCTGGTGCTCAACTACTTGGACGAAAGAGACGGTGAGCAGGACTGTCATCACCTGGCTACTGGAAACGCCTTGTGTCTGGTAACTATTACAGTCACTTCTCTAATAATCACCCTGCCACCTCTTCCTTTTAAGTCCTGTCTAGAGACACAGCTGAGAGATCAAGAAAGAGAAGAATATGACTGTCAGAACCCACTGAGTGAGTGAACTAATTGAATGAACTTTCTAGGTCTCTCGAGAAACCAAGTTTAGTGAGGCTGAAATGGAGAATTCATCTGACAGTTTGAATGGAAAAGTAGAAAAGCTACATGCGTCGTGTTTAACACCCCTCCCTCCCAAAAAAAAAGTTGGTTATTTTAAAGCTGCCTAAGTTAAAACCGTCTGCAGGTTAATTCTAGCTATCCAAATTCTATTTTATCAAGAAATCCTGTCTATCCAGAGGTGTGCTCTCTATGGTCCTGTATTAGTTAACCACCCATTGATGAGCTACACTCAAGATTAGGGGAAATACAGTTTGGGAGGATTTACAGAGTTAAGAGTGATGACAGCGAGAAAGGGGGTAGAAAAGTGAGGGGAAAGAAAGAAAGAAAGAAAGAAAGAAAGAAAGAAAGAAAGAAAGAAAGAAAGAAAGAAAGAAAGAAAGAAAGAAAGAAAGAAAGAAAGAGTTAAGGTGAAGAATGAAAGGAGACGGGTTAAGGGAGAGACAGGACTAGGGAAGGCAGAACAGAAGCTCAGGGAAAGCGAGAGCAGGGCAGGAGGGAAGGGAATGTAGAATGCAGAGAGGAGATGGAGAAAAGGGAAAGGAAAGAAGAAGAAAGACAGGAAGCGGGGCTGTAGCTGCATGAAACAGGGGTCTCCGTGGTGCTGTTTCAACACAGCCAACAGCGACAGGCTCAGAAAACACCAAAACAAACAGTGAGGGATGGGGACAGATCCTGACTCGAGAGCAGGGCAGGAGGGAAGGGAATGTAGAATGCAGAGAGGAGATGGAGAAAAGGGAAAGGAAAGAAGAAGAAAGACAGGAAGCGGGGCTGTAGCTGCATGAAACAGGGGTCTCCGTGGTGCTGTTTCAACACAGCCAACAGCGACAGGCTCAGAAAACACCAAAACAAACAGTGAGGGATGGGGACAGATCCTGACTCCTGTGCTGTCATAACGCTGATGCTCTAATCACCTTCCTTCTCCTTTTTGTGAATTCTTATTTGCTTTAAGGGCTGTGTTAGAACATATATAGGATGTACATGTGCCACAACTCTGCTCTCTGCACTTGGGCAAAAAGAGGGAGAAGTTCTTAAATGTCCATAAAGGGAAACATTTTTTCCACTATTTGAATATTTAGTTACCTTTGAATGTTTCATGAGAGTGACCAAAACTGGAGGACAGAGCAGAAATTCTGGGGAAATTGGAATAGGTTGTTAACGAGAGGTTGTCAGCCCAGGGAAGAGACCTGACACACTTTCCCCAGGGCAATGTTGAGCCTTCTTGTAATTCAGTAATAATACAAGTGTCTCAGCGTCACTCACTCAAATTCGGCCCAGCTGCCCTTCCCCCTCACAACCGAGGGAAACCTAAGCCAACTTTCAGTGGCATTGTGCATAGCCAAGAGAAATCTGAGTGAACTGGATTGAGCTCCGAAGTGCCTATTCACAAGTCAAATTCCGCCCTCCTTTGCAACCCCATGAGTGGGTGAGATTGTGACCTGGTGCTCGGGTTCACAATACCCACGAGCAGTCTTTGGTGCTGAAGTTAAAAATGGAGGCCTGAGACCTGTGTGGATACTGAGGTAATATTGTGCTTTAAAAGACCTCCGATCCCACAAGCACATCATCACAGCTAGGTGGCAGTATCCTCACTATTGTAAAAGGGCAGGTGCAGGTAAAATCATTGCTAATGCTGGGCAAGATTAAAAAGAGGCTGAAAACTGCTGATTTAAATCAGCATCTGCATGATGTGTCTGGCTCTTTGGTTGCCTTGGTACAGGCACTCCCATAATTCCATTGGTGAACAGACTGATCAGAAGGGAACAAAAATCTGCATTTAAATGTTCCCAGTTCTATGTTGGTAGCGAAGTCAACTTCCTAATGTAGTACAGAACTGGCACAATGTTTTCCGCAGTAATAAGGGTGTGATAAGGCCTTAAATTGATGTTATTTATGATTTCTTGGTCAATCACATGATTTGTTCATTCTTAGATATTGCATAAACATGTACATCCAGCCACCTGTATTTTGCTTTCTGTAATTTCTTGTTTTCTATTGTATTTTGGATAATAAAATACAAAATATCCAGTACTTCTCTAGTGTATACTTTGGTTAAGCAGAGCGAGATTCCAGGGAGAAACACAACAGAAGTGATTGGTTAATTTAAATTATTTCTGGAATGTCATTCTTTCAAAACAGCTCGTTTCACACAATTGTATTTCTCTGAAGTCCTGCTAGGATGTCTGTTGTGCTGTATGGCTAACAAACACTGTTCTTGAGAGACTGCAGAACACATATTAAAATGTAAATTGATTTAACGATATATTTACACAGCTCAGCATGTCGCAATCCCCGGTGTCTTCTGTCTCCTTTTTATCTTGGTGTCTCTTCTCTCTAGTGGCACTGAATCCCCAGCCAAGCTTAAGTCATGAAGATCCTCCATCTGCTCTTTGCTGTTGTCTTCTTGGTGCTCCTGGATGCCCCAGGTAAGATATACATGAAAACAAACGATGACACAAAGGGACAACTAGGAGCCTGGATTGGGACTGTCTAACATTTTCCATTAGAAAAATTATTCTAATTTTTCTTATGCGCTCTAGCAGCTGCTTCCAAGAAAAAAAACATTGAGATTTGTCTGAATTATGATCAGTCAAAACAAAATCTATGTCCCCTCAGGCTGTGTCTAGACTGGCCAGTTTTTCCAGAAAATCAGCCACTTTTCCGGAAAAATTTGCCAGCTGTCTACACTGGCCGCTTGAATTTCCGCAAAAGCACTGACTTCCTACTGTTAGAAATCAGTGCTTCTTGCGGAAATACTATGCTGCTCCCGTTCAGGCAAAAGTTCAGGCAAAATGGGGTTCCACCTGTGGCCTCTCACCCCTTCTGGCTACTCCCCCATGCCCTCATGTGCCACTCACACTGGGGTACCAAAGCCCTGCTCTTACCTGCTCCTCCCTCTCCCTCCCAGCACTTCCAGAGCACTCCAATTACCTGATTTGCCAGATCTGGAACGCCACAAACAGCTGATGCGCAGTGTTCCAACTCTGGAAGGGAGTGGGAGGGGCATAGACGGAGTGCAAATTAGGCAATTCATAGCTACTCTGAAAGTGCTTGGAGAGAGAGGGAGGAGCAGATAAGTGCAGGGCTCTAGTGCCCCAGTGAGCAAGGTGGGATGGGGATAGGCAGTGGGTCTGCAGCCCACAGATTGCTCACCATTGCCTTAAACTTTAAAGGCAAGAAGCAGCAAAGGATACCCATTCTGTTCGAGACAGTTCTAAGATGTGCAGCTGGAGAGTCAGTGCCCTATTAATTAAATCGCTCCACTCCCTTTTTTGAGGCTGCCCTTGAACGTGCATAGAACTACAACCATTTAATAGTACTAAAGCGGTGATAGTTTTACACTGGGAGGTAACTGGACTGACTTGGCCAGGTCTTAGTGAATGGGAGATGCCTGTCATCTCTCCTACAGTTTTCCCTTTCTAAGGCTGGCAGACCCCAGTCATCTGCAGAAAGAGCCAAACCTAGAACCTTCTACTGCATGACCCTCTACTGCATGAGCTGGCTAGCTAGTAGCTAAGCCAGCTGGCTAGTAGCCAAGGCTGCAGAGCAAACTCATTATCGTCTCTGTGAGAGGTCTTGGTGCAACTAGGTGGGACAGTGCATCGCACCCAGAGAAGTGTGGGTTACACCTCAAGGATGCCATTTATAGGGAGCTAGGAGTGGCTAACCAGATGTCAGAATATATTAGTGTTACAGCTGAGTGGGTCCAATATTTATTTAATGTTCTTTCTTTTATATAGGAATTAGATACAGTGCTCCTCTCAGCAAACTGCTAAGTTTTCTGCCCAAAAGTGTAGGGTTTTCCAGTGCCTTAGTAGCCCCTGGATACAGATGATGGGGGGGGGGGGGGGCGGAGGAGGGAAGCAGGGATGGGATTGGTTCCCCCCACCCATTTGGTGCTTTGCTTGTACAAAGCATGGTCAGTAAAACTGCTGAAGCCTCCGTCCTCAGTTTGTTCCCCTCATTCTCTCACTCTCTTCCCCTCACTGCCCCTCTCCCCATCATAGCATGCAGAGGTCATCCCCACCCCCCACCAACATCTGAAATGACACCCATGTTAAACGTCCTCTGGAGAATAATTAACACTCTTCTTCTTTGTCAGGATTCTCCGAGGCTAGGATAAGCCCATGGAAATGTAGACGCCGTGGGGGAAAATGTTACCTTAGATGTCCCACTAATTCCATATACATTGCAAAATGCTTAGTGGGTGCCAAATGCTGCCAAAGGTAAGCTCACATTCCAAACGGGAGGCTGTGCAGCATGAACAGCTGATGAACCTGTCCATCCTTAAAGCAGCTTAGCTCTTAGCCCTTTATTTTCTCTCCAGAGGAGGTCATCATAGAAACCTTGCCAATATCCATGTTAACTTTGTCCAGCATGAATGCAAATAATTTAATCATGAAGCGTCCTTTTGTAAAGTTAACGCGGCCGCATTCCACATCTGCCTCCCTTTCTGTTCCTGTTCCGCCTCTTTCTGACCGAATGCAGGACACTCAGCTAGTCACATTCATGATGCAGCAGGAACAGGTCCTAGAGAAACAGTTGGGAGGGTGAGAGACTTTCCCACCCACTAAAACACCAGAGGAGCTCACTGGGGGGCAAGAATGTGAAACTGGGAGCTCCTTGGGCCGGCAGAGTGGGAACCAAGGATTGAGGCTGGAGTGGCCGTGCTACCAACTACAGGGATGATCTCCTGGCTCAGAACATGCCTGAAGTTCCCTGAATATACCCAGAGATCCCTGCTCTCACCAGACAGGGCTGATAGCATAGAACTGGTACCCCAACAGAGTCAGGCTTCAGGTAGAATTAGAATTTCCCGGCAATCTTTAAGAGTTAGTTATGTATCATCTAAATCAGAGGTGGAGAACCTAAAGCCGGCCTGGCTTGCTTGGATCTTGCCCCTGAGGCTCAGGGCCCCCTCCGCCCCAACATTGGGTATCCGTGGGGCTGAAGTACACAAAATCTATTAGCCTGGGACCCCCTAGGCTCTGGGGTGAGAGGGGAATGTGGGAAGGATCTTTCTCCTTCTCAGTCAGGGGCCATGTCAGTGTTAGTTTGGGTTTTTGTTTTTTTTTTGTTTGGGGGATTTTTTGCTTCTCACTTGTGTGTGGCCCCCGACTGACTTTTTGGTAGGTCAGTAGACCCCAACTCAAAAAGGCTAAATTACAGTACCTAACTGTCAATTTAGCTTCAGTTGTAGACATAGTGCACTTAATAAAACACCCCACTACATGAGTGAGTCATGCTTTTCTAAACTTTAGTCTTTGTTGTAGACAGCCAGTTCAGCATTTTAGATACTATGTCCGTTATAATTCTGTAACAAAATGTGGCCACTTTCTTGTGCTGGGATTAACCAAGAACTTCATTTAGTGACTGGGCCGTTTTTCCCCATGCCATATGATTTCAAATCAAACAACGTATAATCCTTTTCTATGGGAAAACATCAAATATCTGACTCTCTTTCCTTTGTACAGGCAAGAGTTTGACTGATTGCCTGGGGGGATCTCCAGGAATCTGGGAGACAGCCACTTGCTTCTAAAATCATCAGATCCTGCCTCAATGGAACCTTGAAGTCTCATTCATTTGGGCTGAAAAGAACCTTGTGAGGTAGAGAAACTCCAGAAGGGAGCCCTTGTATTACACATATAAAATTTGTTACTTTCCTTTTAATAAAAGCAAGCTGGTGTAAGATCATCATGTGTGCATGTGTGTTGATGGGAAGCAAGGGGGCTATTTCTAGCATTCTTCTTTTAGAATCCAATTAGTTTTTTCAAATTAAATTCAAAATAACACGTTAATACCACGCATGGCTATATGTAAACCACAATTCACACATCTCTGCAGGCTTCCAAGAGCTCCTATGAATAGGTCCTTATTGTGTACAGTTGTTACAAATCCTAACAGTTTGTGGTTTCAGAGGAGCTTGGTTCAGTCCCAGCTGAACTGTACAGTGTGTAGCCTTTACCACAGTTCTCTATTTCAACTAGACTATTCCAGTGTTTCTCAACCAGTGGTAAAAGTACCCTTAGTGGTACTTGAGAGAAGTCTGGGGGGTACTTCAACACAACTGAAAATTGGAGAGAACTGAATTTTTGTTTTAAGTTTTACAGTGTTTTATTATTTTTGTACTTTTTATGCCCAAAAATGTCATCGCCCACCCGGCTATGATTACGTTGTTTAAACAAATGTGTTGCAATAGTAGAAAAAGTAATTGTGTGTCTGAAAACTCTTGGTACTTGGGGTACTTATAATTTTTTTAAAGGGGTAATTTATAAAAAAAAGTTGAGAAACACTGGACTATCCCTCTGCTCTGAAACACCACTGTACATGTCATGGCTCAATTCCCCGAACCCGACACTCCGGCTGTGTCTACACTGGCCACTTATTCCGGAAAATCAGCCGCTTTTCCGGAATAACTTGCCAGCTATCTACACTGGCCCCTTGAATTTCCGGAAAAGCACTGATGATCTAATGTAAAATCATCCGTGCTTTTCCGGAAAAACTATGCTGCTCCCGTTCGGGCAAAAGTCCTTTTCCAGAAAACTGTTTCGGAAAAGGGCCAGTGTAGACAGCCCAGATTTCTTTTCTGCATAAAAGCCCCGATCGCGAAAATGACGTTCGGGGCTTTTTTGCAGAAAAGCGCGTCTACATTGGCAAGGACGCTTTTCCGCAAAAAGAGCTTTTCTGGAAAAGCATCCTGCCAATCTAGACGCGCTTTTTCCGAAAATGCTTATAACGGAAAACTTTTCCGTTATAAGCATTTTCGGAAAATCATGCCAGTGTAGACGTAGCCTCCGAGTGCAGAGATGGGGAGCCGGCTAGTAGAATGAGCTCTGTAAAACCTGTCTCTAACATTCCCAGAGACAAACTTGTTCGATCTCAGTCCCTCTGAGATCCACAAAAACCCCAAAGACTGATTTCTTGCTGCCACCATCCAAGTGAATAAAAGAAAATATAAAATAACCCCTCTTTAGGAAAGACATCACTTGGGAATCTCCTCCCTAAGGCAAAGTTCTTCAGCCTGCCCCAACCTCTGTTTTGCTTGGAGTTGGGAAGACAAACTGAGGGAATCAGCAGAGAACAATAGACTCTGCCTGGGTAAGTAGGCACATAAACTTAAGTACACAACAATCACAGGATCATAAAACACTAGAACTGGAAGGGACCTCGAGAGGTCATCAAGTCCAGTCCCCTGCCTCCATAGCAGGACCAAGCACCATCTAGATCATCCCTGACAGACATTTATCTAACCTACTCTTAAATATCTCCACAGATGGAGATTCCACAACCTCCCTGGGCAATTTATTCCAGTGTTTAACCAATCTGACAGTTAGGAAGTTTTTCCTAATGTCCAACTTAAACCTCCCTTGCTACAGTTTATACCCATTGCTTCTTGTCCTATCCTCAGAGGCCAAGGAGCACAATTTTTCTCCCTCCTCCTTGTGACACCCTTTTAAATACCTGAAAAAAATCAACCAATGCCGGTTTTATTATCAAAACAAAACTACTGTTGCAACCATAGTAAATGACTAGATGTAAGATAGCCATGAAGTGACATTGACTCAGGGAAAATCCCTGGGCTGTAATCCTTAGTTACAACAAAAAAAAACAATTAACCAGCTCAGACATGATTTCCAACACCCCAAAGAAGGTAAACAATAAAACCTGATGGACTATCTAAACTTTTCCCTACTTACACATTTCAATAAGTCCATTCGTGGGAAAGCCCATCCCCTCCATATCTGGAAAAAACAGCTCTGATATCAAACAAAGAAGAGAGAAAGAACACACACCCCCTCTCAATTTGAAATTCCTATCTGCCTTTCATTGGCTGAATGCCTGAGCCCTCTGCTTAGGTGCATTTCCAGTTGCTTAAGCCTTTCTTCACTCTTCAGGTAAGTCTGACTCTCCTTAGCAGCTCCTATTTATGACAGTCCACAATGAGGAGAACAGAGGTAATCAATCTAAGTTGCTTTGAGCCTAGATTCTGCTCACTTTTACACTGAGTGCTGGTCTACACTAAAGGGGAAGGTCATATCAAGATACGCAACTCCAGCTACATTAATTACATAGCTGGAGTTGACATAACTTGTTTGGAGTTTTCCCATCCTCCCCACGGTGGAAGGCCAATGGGAGCAAATGTTCCTATCGGCTTCCCTTAGCAGGAGTATGGGCTGCCGATGAGGGTGCCTTCTGAGTTCTATTTAGTGAATCTTAACTAGACTCACTAAAATCGCTCATGGCAACCTCGATCTTCCATTTAGCAAAGACATGGCCTTGGTGTCATAAGTCACGGGTAACTCCACTGAAGTCATCATAACTTCATCTCTCGGCCTCCCTCCCTGCTATGCCAGGGGCACACAGTGCCCAGAGGGAACCGCCAGCCATTTGAACAGCTGGTGGTTCTCTCTAGTGCCATGCACCCCTGGCAGGGGAAGGAGACTTTGTGCAAACCACCACCCCCAGACTCCAATTGGCTTGGGGTAGGGGAGTGCACAAAGTCTCTTGTCCCATCAACCCATCCTGCCAGGGGCATGCAATGCCTAGAGGGAACTTTAGGTGCCACACACCCCTAGTGGTGGGAGGACACTTCGTGTACTCCCCCACCCTCAGGTCCTGATTGGTGGGTTGGATCTATACCACAGGCCATATCTTGCCCGTCCCTGGTGTACCTCTGTGGGTCACATAGGGTAGCAGTGCATCTTTGGGTCATAACAAATTCAGGACAAACTACTGAAGAATAGGGCAGATACATCCCCAAACTGGTGGTTTATCCCCCCAAAAGATATGTCAAACCAGCAACAAAAGTAAACTTGTTTCTCCTCACTGGCTAAGAGGAAGCTAGAGAAGCAGTTTCCTTTGGCATTCAAGTACTTGTATCACCACACAAAACATGGAATTCAATGATGAATGGCTTCTGAAAACCAATGTCATCAACCAAAGAGTTCTTTTGATTCCAAAGGGCCAGCCATACATTCAGGCTAATAGATTACTGAGACTTTAATCAATAATCGTACTGTTGCCAGTCTTTTAGGATATGTCTGGACTGCATCCCTCTGTCGGCAGAGGGATGCAGATTAGGCAGGTCGACACTGCAAATGAAACGGGGATTTAACTATCCTGTGCTTAATTTGCATAAAAATGGCCACCGTTTTTGCCAACTCAGCACTTTGTCTGCAAAAAGTGGCAGTCTAGAGGGGGATCTGTCAAGAAAGAAATCCTTTTTAGACGGATCCCTCATGCCTCCTGAAAAATCTAAAGAGGAAGGAAGGAAGGAAGGTTAAATTGGTTAAAAGAATCAAATACATATAATAGTTATGTGGTGCATAGAAACTGGGTGATATCACTTTAAACAGCTGGGAGCTTTCAAGTGGACTTCCTGGTCCCCTGCTGCTGTAGTCCCCAGAATTCTGCTGGATCAGATGTATTCACAGGTAATCAGGCCTAGCATTTTTGTACCTAGTAATACACTGGAGAGACTGGTTTTCCTCAACAGGGTTTTAAAGCTTGTTACTTTAAAGAAATGGTCTGCACCTCACAGCACCAGCCACTTCAAATATTTTAAGTTTGGAAACCTTGTAAGTAATTGACAATGGGTTAAACACAGCAGTGCTCACCTTCCTGATAGAACTGGAAGGTGAGTGGTGTGGCTGCTCTGGCAGGCGGGGCCATGTGATGGGCGGGCAGAGGGCTGCCAGGGGTTGGTGCCGTAGGTGGGCGAGCGGCTGCCGCGAGGGTTGGGACCACAGCCACATGGTGGGTAGGAGGCTGGTAGGGATTGGGGCTGCAGCCGCAAGGCAGGCAGCTGCTGCTAGGGGTTGGAGCCGCATGGCAGGGGGGGGGCTGCTGCCAGGGTTTGGGACCAAGGCGCTGTCGCGGGTGGGCGGCTGCTGCTGGGGGTTGGGGGCACAGCTGCAAGGCAGGAAGGCAGCTGCTCCAGGGGCCAAGGCTGCCTGGCTCAGACACTGGGGGAAGGAAGCTGGGTAGCCTCCTCAGAAGGGCACTGGTAAAGCATGCACAACATTGATTATACAGTTGATTGGCCAAATGCACAGACAACATTTCTCATGACTGACTTGTTGGTTTTGTTAGTCAGACACACAGGTGTGCAAGGCATTTTACAGATACATGCATCACGAAGAGCGGCTTTTGGAATGCCACATATGTGCAGGCTCTGCAAACATGGCTGGGTTAGGAGGCCAATGGCCCAATCTGTCAGTATATGTTAGCGAGCATTGTGTGTAGTCGCATGAACAGCCCCAGTACCTTAAAAACTATTTGCTGCAATACACAAAGCACCTGTTGTTTAGAAGTCACAATATTTAAGCATAATGGAGGTAGCAGCCTGCCTGTGTAACCTGGAGTGGCTAGACATCACCGCCTTTCTCCAGCGTCTAAAGAAACCCCCATTTCCACTGCAGTACTGGAGACCCAGAGTTTAGTCTGTAAGGAATTTCAGCAAAGATTGCACAGTGTCAGCCTCCCTACATTCAAGTTCCAAAAGAATAAATTTAATTAAATAACTTTATACAATTTTATGAAGAAACAAATAATCTAATTCTTACAACAGAACACAGCTATTTTATACCCCACAAATAATATCTAGAATTACAATAAACATAAGTAAAGAGAAAAGTAAAAGTGAAATGTGAACAGTTCAGTCCACACAAACACAGTAAGAAAAGACGGAACGG